CTGAGCTGACATTTACTTGTTCTTTAGGACTCACCTGAGAATCTACTGCTCTAGGGAGCATCCCCTGATCACCTATTCCTGCATTAGGTGTCATCCCTATAAACACTGTGGGCTGAATCCAATCAGCACACATAGCAAACACTATTAGAGTGATGTATGTACATTTTTATCTGAAACACTAGAAAGTAAAATCCTGCAAACAGAGACCATGGTCATTATTGTTATTATTGTTTGTATGTTCCCAGGATCTAGCACAGTACCTATCACACAGTAAGTGCTCAGTAAGTGTCTGTGGACTGCACATTGAATGTGCCACATCTGGCACATCTTCCACATTCATGATTTGCAGATGGGGAGAATAGAGCCCTTAAAAAATTTAATAGTTACCAACACACTTAATAGTTACAAAACAACAACAGCATATAGTGAAAATGTCATAGTACAATCTCCTTAACATAGGAATGAATGCAGTTATCATGCCCTAGAAAATAACCTGCCATCACTGACCAGATAACACCTTTGTAGGCCTGTGCATTGAGAGATATACCATTTATTATAATGACAGAATTTTGCTGCCATTAACCCTTAAAACCAAGGAATTTGGTTGAGAGGGAAAGAAAAAGTATATTTAGAAAATGTCTTCATTTTTCTGGCACTCTACAAGTTAAACCTATTGAACTTTTCAAATGATTACATGATTTTCTTTCAATTAAAACACAATATATTGTTACAAATTATTTGAAAGCTGTTCTAGTTATTTATAATAGAATAACTGATTTCAATTTAAAAACACACTGTGTTATATGTAGATCACTCTCTTGGAAATAAAATGCATTTCCTTCATTTATGAAAATGGTTCCAAGGGGAACTTCAATTAATAACTTTACTATGAAGACATTGCTGATAAACCAAAAAATACACTTACTTCATTAAAAGACATAAAAGGATTTTCTGCATATACAACATAACAAGGTTTTTATGAAAGTAATGGCCTGTAAAAACTTTGAAATCTCTGCAAACTTTACTGTCATTTATGGAAGACATGAAACATTAAGTTACTATCTATCCCTTCAAACTGTGTTCACTTTTCTGAAGCATCATTGAAATAACAGGAGGCATATCTTGGGATGAGGGCTGAATAAGTACTTTGGACACATTTTATAAACAATAGATGTGATCACGGCAATTATAATCAGAGAATAAAGGAGACAGGCTTGAATTTTTATCACAGTTGCAAACAGATAAATCTTGATTCAGTAATCAGAATGTAAAGTGCTGCATATACAAAGCACAAAACACAGTCTAATAAATACTTCACATGCTTAGATTATTTGAAACTGAACTTAGTTCTTACATGAACTTCATGAAGGTCTAATGGAAATAAAGTATGTCTTAAACGTTTTCTTCCCTCTAAGATGCAACTATTCAAAACTTTTTTGAAATCTCTTAATCACTACACATTGTTACAATACCAGAGAAGAAAAAAAAGAAACTATTAATTTTTAAAATTACCCAGCAATTCCATTGCATCATCTTCATTGTCAATATCTTCTTCTGTTACAGATGGGGTAGGGCTGTGGAGAGATTCAAAAGAATCTTGCGAGAGCATTGCTGCTAGAAGTTTCTTGTGTTGTTGTTGCTGTTGCTTTAATCCCTTGGTCTTTGGTTCCATCTTTAAACTGTAGAAATATTTAGATGTTAATTTTCAATGGAGATGAGATTACGAATGAGCTGTACTAAGTAAAATCTATAAACTAATGTTTTTACATTGTTATTCTGCTATGCAAATTTACAGTCATATTAAGAAAATCTTCCCCATAGATACCGGAAATACACAACCTGTCCTCTTTCTTAGACTTGTGTTGGTCCCTCTCTAACAATTTCCAAGTGGATGTGGGTGAGGAATATGGCAAACAGGAAAACTGCTGCCCCATAAGAGGTTAAACAATCAGCTTCTAACCTAATTCAAAAACAAAAGCATGTCATGAATAAGACATGCAAGGGGATAAATATTTTAACATACTACTCTAAGATAAAAAAAACAACAACTTTAATTTCTACAGTTGAAATAAATTTTCTCACTAGTCCTATTCATGCTGCCAAGATCAGGAGATAGGTTGGGATAGAAGAAAAAACGGAAACAGAAATGTCCATGGAAAAACTCTCAGTTTCTTCCAGTCTAAAGGAGTCTTAGTAAATTTGGGAAAAAAATGTTGTTGTTGTTGCTTTTATACACCTAGGCTCCCCTGGGTAAATGCTCAGTCTCTCATGGTTCTCTTCCAGCACTTTCTGAGATGGTGTCGAACTAAAGAGGACAATGTATAAATGGCAATAAAACACAGTTTTAAAAATTCTCCCAAAGTTTTTCTCTTCTTCATAACCCAATTTCTTGCTACATTATTTCCCAAAGGAAGGAGATGGAAAATGTCACTAGAAGAAGGAGGAAGTGATGATAGAAAGGAAGTCCCACCCAGACAGGAAGGGGAAATAAAATATAGCTCTTTTTGTACTCAGAATGTAGGCCCAGAAGAGAAGACAAATGGCGAAGGAAGGAGGTTACACGTAGTGTCCTTACCTCCATCAGGACAAAACCTATAGGTGGCTCAGAAAGAAGCCACCAAATAAACTTCAGGACACAAATCAGAAGATTTCAAGCTCCCTTAATAAAGGTACCATGACACCTAAGAGGAGGTTGGAAATGTCAAAGTGGCAGGATAAGACATCAGTGACAAAATCAGCCAGTATCACCTCATTACTTCACTAGTTCACCTCATAGTTAAAGTGGATATGATAGAGATTATCAGGGAAAACAAAAACAGATTTTTTTTAGAATAATGCTAGCCGATACAGTTTGAAGGAATGGTAGATTTAGAAAATCATCACTTTGCAGCCACCAACGTAGTACACCCATTCCTCACTTATTGACATGGTTAAGTTTCAAAGACTAGGTCATTATGCAAAAATTGGCCTTATGTGAAAATGGAGGACATCCATATCAGATCACAAAGTGGAGGATGACTACATCATTACATAACTGCCAGATTACATCATGACATAAGGCAAGGAGCTGAGGGAGCCACCAGAAGGGAAAGAGGGGAAAATAACCCCAGGGAAGAGAAGGGAGTGGGGAAGGCTTATGTGTTCCTTTGCAGTGTCCTTCTGCAGCACGGTGGGGAGTCTCTCGGTCACAGAGCTCTAAAGGAAAGATGCAGCTGGGGGTCCTTATAACTACAAGGTTTTCTCTTACCTATAGCTAGTAGATGTTAGGTGTACTTTTGAGGGGTATGTAAAGCAGACAGGCTCTAAGTAGCTAAAAACTGCTTATCTGGACCTTTTTTTAAACAACTGAATGTGTACAAATTTGAGTTTGACACTGGTAGGTTTTCTTTGGGCTAATAGGCATCAGCTTGCTATGAAGAAGTAAAGAACTTGGGGCCAATACACAGAGGACATTTCTAGCTCATTTATGTAACGCTGGGTCATACGGTCATTGTTTGGTTTTATAAGGAACTGCCAAAATACTTTCCAGAGTAGCTGTAACGTTTTACATTCCGAGCAACAATGTATAAGAGATCAAGGTGGAGCTAAGATAGTGGAATAGTCAGACACTTCATGTCTGACTGTTCCTCTTCAAACAAAGAGTAGAAAAACCAAGTGAATTAGATACACATGACAATCTAGGAGCCTTAGTCATCAAAGACAAAGCTGAAGAATCAGACTGAGTGACAGGCAAAAAGAGAGAGAATTAAAAAACAGTAGAAAGAGGGAATTACGAATCGTGAGATTGCCAGTGTCCTCCTGGCTGAATCTGCACAGTGCACACAGGCTGAGGCAAGCAGCAACGTCCCCAGATGAAACCAGCCCCATGTGGTGCAGCCAAGCAACAGTGAATCTGCACATACCTCCAGAACCAAACGTGAGCAACACCAGACCTGTCAAAGTTAAAGGCAAGCTCCCAACCCACCGTGTGCACTGCCACCATAACTCTTCCCTCCACCAGAGTTCCAGAGCCAAGGAACACTCTCTTCCCCTCACCCATCCCCCTCCTCACTCCCCGAAATCAGTCCCGCAGCATTCCACAATGCCACGCCCCCTAAGCTGGGAACTCAAGGCTGGGTCTGGAGTCACCCGCTCCTTCACCCAGCCACTGGCATAGGGGGTCTAAGGACTTGCAGTGCCCTTCAACCCTGCCCTACTGCCTTGCAGGCTGATCCAACACTGTATCCCCTCATTAGGACAAAACAGACAAGGCATCCACCTGAAATCCATTTTCATCTACAGCAGCCAAGTGGGAGCTGCAGATTTGTGACATTCGACACTCTCTGACCCCCTAAAAAGGGGCCTCACCTATCCACACCGGGGGACTGAGGGCCAGCAGTACCACCCACTCCATCTAACTTCCCATGACAGGGGCCTGAGAATTAGTGGTGCCTCCTAATCCCTCCAGCCAATGGCAGCAGATGCCCAAAGACCGGCTGCCATATCACCCCAACTATGAGCTCTAATGGACAGGGATATGCTCTCTATCTGGGCACCCCAACACAGCCAACAGCCCCCTACTTTGTCCCACATATTGCCCCCCACTGCAACCAGAGACCTGTGCCTGCTCCAACCATCCCTACACTGCCCTGCTGCCTAGGACTGTAGGTGAGTCTCCCTACCACACACCTGGTGACCAATGACCTGGGCAACTGCCCCCCAGACAACTGCACCACCACAAAAACAGTAAACAGACTCCCAAGCTCACACACCTACTAGCTACTATGACCACCGGGAGACAGGAGGTGAGAGTTTCAATGAAGCCAATGACCAGAGTAACACACAGGCCCAGCCTACTTGGGCATATCAAAACAAAACAAAAATACAGGACACAGTTAAAAACACAATAAATAAACATAATAACTTATTGATGCCTCAGAGGCAACAGTCAGTATCAAATCACATAAAGAAGCAGGACAACATGGGTCCAGCAAGCAACCAAAAAAAAAAAGAACCAGAAAACCTTCCAGAGGAAGATGAAGCAATGGAACTACCTGAGAAAGAATTCAAAAGACTAATACACACAGCTCTCCAAGAGATCAGGAAGGAGATCAGGCAAAACACAGACCAAACCAAGCAACACACAGACAAAGCAATAGAAGAATTTAGGAAAACAATACAAGAATAAAATGACAGAATAAACAGGCTGCTAGAAACCATACAGAAACAACAACTAGAAATCCAAAAGATCAACAATAAAATTTCAGAATTAGACAACTCAATAGATGGTCAGAGCAGCAGAACTGAGGCAATGGAAATCAGAATTAGTGAGACTGAAGATAAATCCCTAGACACCAATATGTTTGAGGAAAAATCAGAAAAAAGAATGAAAAGAAAATGAAGGAAGCCTAAGAATTACATGGGACACTATCAAGAGGAAAAACCTACAAGTGATCAGAGTACCAGAACAGTGGGGGATAATGGAAAACACAGACAGAATTTTTGAAGATTTGCTGGCAGAAAACTTCCTTAATATCATGAAAGACTAGAAGATATCTATCCAAGAAATGCAACAAACCCCACACAGGATAGGCCCCCAAAAGATAGTCACCAAGACATATCACCACCAAACTTGCCAAAACCAAAGACAAAGAAAGAATCCTGAGAGTGGCTAGGGATAAAGAAAAAGTCACCTGCAAAGGAGAACCAATAAGACTAAGCTCAGATTACTCTGCAAAAACCATGCAGGCAAGAAGGCAATGACATAACGTATATAAAGCCTTAAAGAAAAAAAAAACTGCCAGCCAAGAATTATATATCCAGCAACACTGTCTCTCAAATATGATGGCGAAATTAGGTCTTTCCAGATAAACAGAAATTAAGTGAATTTGAAAAAACAAGACCAAAATTACAAGAAATATTAAAGGAAGTCCTCCAGTTAGAGAACCAACAATATCAGCAACAATCCAAGATGAGAACATAGGACATATCCACCAGATATCAACCCAGATCGGGAATTCACAGAAACAAATCAAAGCTAAAAGACTAAAAATAGGGAACCAGAGACATCGATATGTAAAAACGATGACAAAATCAAAACAAAAAACAGGGAATAAATGGTGTAGCCACAGAACTTCCATACGGAGAGGAAGTCAAAGCGATATCAAAAAATAAAAGACTAGTTTAAACTTAGAAAAATCAAGGTAAATTTCAAGGTAACCAGAAAGGAAGCTAACAAACCTACCCATCAAAACAAAAAAGAAGAAAAACATAAAGACTCAGTAAACACAAAGCCAACAATAATGAAAGAGATGAAAAGAAAATACATAAACTCAGTACAGAAAATTAAGTGGAACATAGAAACCATTAACACCACAAAAAGAAAACACATCAAAATGACAGCAGTAAACTCATACCTATCAATAATTACACTGAATTTAAATGGCCTAAATGCACCAGTAAAGAGACAGAGGATGGCAGACTGGATTAGAAAACACGATCCACCTATATGCTGTCCACAAGAGACATGCCTTAGACATAAAGACAAAAAAAAAAAAAAAAAAAAACCTCAGAGGTTAAAAAAAATATGTATCAAGCAAACGGTGACCAAAAAAGAGCAGGAGTGGCAATATTAACCTCTCATAAAATAGACTTTAAAGCAAAATCCACCATAAAGGATAAGAAAGGACACTATATAATG